CAGGAGTAAGAAGAGAAATCCAGTTGGTGGGGGAAATTAGAAAGTAACTTGTTGCAGAATCCCAGCCTTGAGTGAAAAGGTGTGAATAGTGCAGGCTATGTCTAATGCTGATGGAGATGGGATGAAGTATCAACTGGGTTAGGCAACAGTCAGAGATGCTGCTGATGTTGCTCACAAGAAAGGTTTGGGTGGAGAAGTCACAGGTCAGAAGTTAGTCTGACCTCTGAGTGACCAGTGAGTGGTTTATTAGTCATCAAGGATGAACAAATTAGATTAACAATGACTAACACTGGACCAAGGTGGCAAAACTCCTTTTATAATTTCAAGCAAGTCTTGAGAAAGGAGGAATGATCACACCATTGGAAGAATAACTGGGAAAAAACATATCCAATGGCAGATAGTATCTCTTGAAAATAAAAAATGCACTTACTCCATGCTCACACAATACACTTTTCTATAATAAAGCAATCCTTACATGTGTGACAAAGGCATGTCTGAGATAGTCACTGCCCCTTTGTGTGTATAAACAAAAACAGAATACAAAAATAACCTAACCCATCATCTATGAAGAAATGGCTAAGCAACAGATGGTAAAAGCATTTTGAGGGATGCCCTACGACAGTTGTAAAGAATGAGACAGAGCCATTATTTTCAGCATAGGTATATACTCAAACATACCGTTGAGTGAAAAATGCATTTATGAAAATGTGTATTGTATCACACTAAATAGGGAAGTGTATGTGAGCAAGTGGCACACACACTTACAAATGCACAAAGGCACACACAAGCCTGGTGCCAGTGGCTCACGCCTGTAATTCTAGCTACTCAGGAGGCAGAGATCAAGGAGGATCATGGTTTGAAGCCAGTCTGGGCAAATGGTTTGCAAGAACCTATCTCTAAAAAACCCATAACAAAAAAGGGCTGGTGGAGTGGCTGAAGGTGTAGGTCCTGAGTTCAAACCCCAGTACCACAAAAAAAAAACCACACACACAAAACAACATTGCATATTTCCATATTTAATGCATAAGAAGTGGACTACGATGATACCAATGCATAACAATGGTTATTATTAGGATAGAGGAAAATAGACCCAGAATCTGGGAGAAAGCAATTTGTAAGTTTTCATTTCTTTTATAAGGTGAATGCATGTATTTATTAATAAGAGTGGACCAGTAACATTTTTAAGTGGAAAGAATGAATGGAATTCAAGGAAAGTAGCTTTAACAGAGGCTGTGATCTTCTCAAAGGTTGGGATCCTGGCCATGAACTCTGTGCTTGAACATTTTCTGGCAAGATAAGCAGCACATGTTTATCTGAACAAATGAGGGATGAGACTGTGGATACCTATGGTAGCCACTTTGTGACCATTAAGAACTCTGGACCACCACTACCTCTTTCTGTTAGGACTAAGAAGAAATAACTGATTGCATTTTCCAGGTCTTTTTGTTATCTTATGACTTTTTCAATTTCCCATTTTTTGCTGCCATGTAATTTTATTGACAGATAATATTTAATAATTATTATTAATAATTAATTTATAACAGATAATAATTGTACATATTTATAGGGCACAATGCAATGTCTGAGTACATTTATACATTGTATAATGTCCAGTTATTTCTAGTCACTTACCAACAACATGGCCTAGGGTTCATTATCGAGTATTGTTTTCATTATCAAGATTTTTCTGTTGTAATGGGGTAGTTAATTTATCAGTTTATTTTCAGCATATATGTGTTCACCTCTTTTCCTTTGATAATGCAAGTGTTTTCTTCCCCCATTTAGATCAGAAGCAAAACTCAAACTTCTTGACCTGAGTGAAAGACACAGATTTTCAGTTTTATGTTGTAGAATCTCTAAAATGTTCTCTTCCACAGAATAAAGGAAACTGGACCTGAGCAAAGCAAAATGCAGATACAGGTGCTGATGCAAATTCAAAAGGGCAGTTGGGCAGGAAATAGACTTGCATTCAGTTTGCCCATAGAATAGATTCAGGGGAAGAGCTGTCTTTGAGGATCAAAAGGGGGAAACCCCTCTCTATCAACTTGAAGACCAATTAGCAGCTTTGGGCTTGATATGACCACCATGACCTTAGCTTAAGAAAGCAAAAGCATAAATGCCTTTTTCAATATTAGAATATCTCATGGACTGCAGGAAAAAGTTATAGGAATCCAGGCTTTAGGAACTAGACCAGGAGAAATAATTCTGTTATTGTGCTCTTTCTTCAATTCTCTGTATTCTATTTCAGTGTGTGTGTATCTATAAGTGTTTGACTAATTCTCTCCAGGCTACAGATAGATAAGGAATTTGCCTGGTTCCTTGCTAGGTTTAGGAAGCCACATTACTTTGGAAGTTCTTTTTGATATTAACTGAGCAGAAATTTGTCTTCTTGCAACACTACTTGGATCCTTCTGTGGTGTCTTTTCCTCCTCTTCTTCATTCACCACCACAATGTCCTTACCTCCTCTGATAGAGTATACAGAGGTACAGTGTGGATGGATTGTGTGTCTATCTTCTACTTTTTCCCAGGGATGATGGGAATGCTTAAAGCACAGCCCAGGATTACATTGTATTTTTCAATACTATAAGTTGTTCGTTCTATATATTCCACTTTTTACAGTACTTATACTCTTTGTAGCCTACTATAGACTCAAGTTCATTGTCAGTACAAGTCTCTCATGTTCATCCTTGGAGTCATCTTGTGCTTAATCTTGACTTTGTCAGAGAAAAATTGCAATAGTGAATCCCCTGGACTCCTTCTCTGTATCCTTATGTAGGTGTGCATAAGTATAAATGCAAGTGAGGGAGGGTTGATCAAGGTACAAATCTCAGGCTGTATCCAGAGCCCTCTGAGAATCAGGCAGTGGACACTGGCTGGAGGCTCTCTGGTGTTTGCATACACCTCCTTCTCGGTGGACATCCCAACATCATCACAATCCCCTGGCGTCATATGGAAGAGGAGGAAGTGAAACAGGGAAGTTCCCAAGCAGCCTTTCCATGGTCTCATTCTCCATAGTGTTTGAGGAGTTTTGCAGTTCCTTAGATGCTTCTTGAAGTTGAGGGCTGTCCTTGCCGATTTAATACAAGATCTTGCCCACACTTAAGTATCAATGGGAAGATGCTAATACATGTAATGAGAATTAAATTATTTCAACAGTATGGTAGAGAAGCTGATAGGCAGCAAGAACACCACAAAGATTGACAAAAAATGTCCAATGAGAATGGAACAATGCTGTGATTTCAAAGAAGAGAAGGTATTGTCTTTGGATTGGAAGCTGAGGAGAGGTCTTTAAATACTTCAGACAGAATTAGGATGGTAGGAAGACATAGGCAGGTGAGATATGCAGTGATGGAAGTGTTGGAGATGAACACCAAGGCCTGAGCAGAGGCTTACAGAGAAGAAATCCAGCCCAGGGTAGCTAGTAAGGAAGAGAAGTTTGCTTAACTAGAATCTGTCTCACCAGAGCCTGAGACAAGAGTTTGTATACAGAATGATGAAAAGTGACTCCAGGGAACAAGAGAGGGAGTTGGGGAATTCAAGCAGAGAAATGAGGGAAGCAAGTGCAGCAGGTTCTTGAGTTCAGCCCTGCCACGTGACTCTGGCTTACTCCTGAGTATACAGAGGTGCAGTGTGGATGGGCTACACACTCCTCTGGGGAACACAGAATGCATCTCAGAATTGTCCAGGAGGCATAGTAGGGAGTAGCTATATCTCACTGCTCCCATCCTCCACTGGTCAAGGGTTCCCCAAGGGCAGCTCCCTCTCATTTCTCTGTTTGTGTATGTGTGTGTCAAGCAGGTTTCTGTAACTGTCCATCCTCAATTATCCCAGGGAGAGAGATACTCAAAGCAGTCGTGATGACATACTGTCAAATTATACCTTCTCAAAGTTTGTTGCACAGAAGCGGCAGGCCTAAAATGGATCTAGAAGGATGAAAGGAGGGGTTCAAGGGGTATCTCTAAAAGAATCATGGGCAGGAGATGATGCCAAGATGATAGGTTTTTTTAAAGCATAGTTTGCCTGGATGAGAAATTTGAACTCAGCAACAGATATGTGTCATAAGGCTTGGTACCTCTGCTTGTGAAGTACAAAAAGGGCAAGGTCTTCTGAGGACAGAGAGTTTGATATGCTCACCTTCCTGTGCAGGGTGTTGTTAATATATTGCAGCCTATATGTCCTTTGTTGTGAACTTCAGACTATTTTATAGGCCTCAACTAGAGTACACAAAATGAACAACTGACTTAAAACTATCTCCATAAAAAACTGTAGCTGAACACACTACTAAAATCCCAGAAAACATGAATAAGAAAAAGAAAACATCACAGCAGATGCTTCTATTTCCAGCCACTTTATAAAGTAAAATGAGGGCGGTACAATTAGTTCTGAGAGTTGCCTAAAAGAAAGTCGAGTGACTATGAATGATTCTTTGAACATGGATTTATTTACATTCATCATGGTTAACAATTAATTATAATAAAATTATATTGCATATCAAAATATTAACTAGTGATATTATGAATCTATCATGATTATCAAGACATGCAAAATGTTTATTTTGTATTTGCTTCATTCTTCAGATTTATCCTCCTGGGTATATATTATATTTATAATAAACATGCCTAGTGTTAATAAATAATATTGTTTTTATTGATAGGGTTTTGTGAATAAGAACACTTAGATTTTACCCACATTTCTGGACCATGGGTTGGTATAATCAATAGGAAGAAGCATGCGGCTTAAGTGAACTTGGCAGCTAAGTAAGTGACGAGACAAGATCAGGATGGCATAAAAGCGATTCTTAAGTTTCATAGTGGGATTGTGTTCAAATGAGGGACAGTGTCTGGAGGAGATGTGGTTTGGGATAGTCAGAGTGAGGTATGGATAGGTCGAACTGCAGATGACCTCATCAGGACATGGTGGTCTCTTTAAATGACATTGTGTTTTCAAGTAAAAGCTTGGTCTTTTATCCTAAAGTTGAATGCCACAGCCCAGATTGGATTTAATTCTCAGAGAGTATATAGAAGTTAGTGTTGTTAGTTCCACCTCTCTCCTGGGTGAGAATGATGGGCTGTCTTGCCACAGTGGAGTTGCCTATGAACCAGCCAGGATAGGCGACAGACTGAAAAACAGCAGTAGAGCCCTCTATAGCGTGGAAAAAGAGAAAGGGCTTCTGTGCTTTGTTCTTGTACAGGTCCTGGATGTTGATCTCCTGGGGGTAGGAAAGAATCTTGTTAGTAAGGAAGATGGGGTGGAAGAGCTAATCTAACATGACCCTGGGTGTATATCAGGAGAGTGACTGCTGCCCCCAAAGGATGGGACAGAGGCTAGGGACACAGGTAAGCAAAAGAAGACACCAGGCTGTAAAAAACAGGCACCCACTAGTTTCCAATCGCCAGGCTTCCCTCCAGGACCCCAGCACACAAACTGCTACTGATTATTTCAGATATCACCATATTCCCTGAAACAGAGGTAGGTTTGAATTTCTTTTTCTGGAGTTTGTTTTTTTTTTTTTGGAAGGATTTTAAAAATTATGATCATATCATTGTGGTACTCAGGGTACATTGTGACATTTACAAAAATTCTTATAATATGTCATAGTTAAATTCAACCCCTCCATCATTCTCCTTTACCCTCCCTTGCCCCATTTCTGGAAGAGTTTCAACATGCTTCATTGTTCCATTTTCATACATGAGTACGTAATATTTCTACCATATTCACCCTCCTATACTCTTTCCTTATACCCTTGATACTCTCACTAGTATCAATCCCCTAGACAGGACCTGTTTAATCTTCCTACTCTCTGTTTTTGAAAAAAAGTATTTTTGTTTGTTTAAGATAGCTATACAGGGAGTTTCATTGTGATCTGTCCATGTGTACATGTATTGTTGTCCAAATTGTTTCATCCCCTCTATTTTTGTCTTTTCTACCTTAGTCCTCTTATGGCAATTTTAACAGGTTTAAAAATTCTATATTCTTTCTTATATAGAAAGTACATCAACTATATTTACCTTCTTAACTTCCTTCTTTTACCCTCCCATTAATGATCTTCCTTTAACATAACCTGTTTTTCATAATATTGTTTGGATTGGTGGCTATCATCAAGCGGGGCACTGATGGCTCATGCCTGTAATCCTGTCTATTCAGGAGGCAGAGATCAGGAGGATCATGGTTCGCCCTATCTTGAAAATACCCATCACAAAATGGGCTGGCAGAGTGGCTTAAGGTGAAGGCCCTGAGTTCAAGTCCCTGTACTGCAAAAAAAAAAAAAAGAAAGAAAGAGAGAGAGAGAAAAAAAGAACGCAAACAACAACAACAAATGTTGGTGAGGATGTGGGGAAAAAGAACTCTGGAGTTCCTAGTGTACATTCATCTGCAGGGTTAGGTCAACATCACTGGAGTCCCAGTCTCCAAGTGGGTTTACACATTACAATTTCCATCATTAGCAGGAGGTTTAACTTAATATCCACAAATCTTCCTTTTAGCACATAGGTATATGTATGTGCTCTGCAAAATCCAGGCTGACAGTCTCTTTCCATTTGTGCAAAGCAGTAGCCTTTGCTTAAGTGTAGTCATACCATTATTTCAGAGGATTTGAGGAGGCAGTTAATCAGGACTAATAAGTGAGGTCGAGTTCAGAAAGGCAAAGGTCACATATTTTCTCTCATGTGGAAGATAGATCCAAAAGATAAGTGTGTACACAAATACAAACATGTTTTTAATAGTGGGACATTTGAAGAGAATAGGGGTAGGAGGGAGATGAAAAGAGAATGATACAATGTGAAAAATATTGTAATACATTGCATCTGTGTAAGAAGACATAAGGAAACACTGAAAGGTGATGAATAATAGAGGGTGGGAAAAAGGTAAGGAAGAGTAAGAGAAGAGGTTAATCTGATTAAAGTACAAGATACTCACTGGTGAAACAACAACAAATACAATTTAAATAATTGACAGAAATGTAAAACAGTTCCTATTATGGGGAAAGTACTAGTGAGAGGGGGAGGATGAATGGAGAAGGTAAAGGAGTGTGACTATGGTTGATATACATTGTATAGGTTTATGAAGATAGAACATTGAAACCCGTTGAAATCATTTTAAGTAGTGTGCATGGGGGGTGCTAAGGGAGAATGATGGTGGAATGAACCTAACCAAGGTGCATTGTAAGCATATATAGAAATGTTACATTGAAACCCCCTGTACAACTACTATATTTAAAAAAATTAATGAATAGATAGATAGATAGATAGAAAAACTGGAGAAGCCACCGTTCCTTCACTTTTCAGAGACATTCTCATGGGTTTATTCTCTGGTCTTTAGAGGATTCATACTCTGACATTAAGTGTTCTACCAATTCAAATGACATCATGTACTGATTTCAGAACCAGCCAGGTCAGGTTTCCTTCCTTACACTGAATAATCCAGGATTTCAAGAATATCATCTTTATTTTATAACATGTTAAGTGAGATAAAAAGTCTATTTAATATACTCCTCACTAGTCATACAGCCACTCACCTTAAGCTGCAAAGTAGGCTGGCCCTGAGTTTCTTCGCAGAAGAGAGAGAGACTTTTGCCCTTGATTCCCAGGAAAACCAGATTGCCTTGTGCTTCATCTTGGAATTCTGTGTCTCTACATGCTATTAAGTCAAGCATGACTGGAAACACAAAGATAGTGGAAAAGATGTCAGGCTCCAAGCACAGGGATGTCCAGTCCTTTGGTCTCATACTTAGTTATTCCTTCAAGCCAGGGCATAGTGAACATCCAGCCTTCCCTTCCCTCCACAAACCAGCTTCCCCCATCAGCCACAAAGCAACAAACCCTTGGTTGCTTTTCTGAAACCCACCTCCTTTTTCTTCCTTCATATCAGAACACTGATTATTACCAGGGCACATTGTTTCAACCTGCCCCCTCCCAAAATTCTCATCATCCTTGCAGCTAAATGTGACCATATGCTTAAGGTGTGGTCCATGAGATGTAAGTGTAAGAACTGTGTGGTATTTCTAAGAATGTTCATTAAATGGAGTTGACTCAGTTGGGAAGGAAGGATTCCTTCTTTATACTCTCTGTCATCGTTGCTCAGTGATGGCTGGGCTGAGCTACCCTGGAAGTTGGTGTAACAGAAAGTAAGAATCTCTGGTAGAATCGTTGAACCATCATGGAACCAACCCTGGGTCTGCCTGCTCATGTTTGTTTTACATGAGAATGAAATACACTTCCATCTTATTTAAGTCCCAATTATGTGAGTTTTCTGTCTCTCTCAGCCAAAATTAATTCTTTAGTAATTAGCAAAAGAATCCCAGGACTTTAGGCATTCTGCATCTATCCTTTTGGCAGGGGACAGGGAACAAATACATTTAACAACTATTTATTAAATGCCCTCTCAGGACAAGGCACTATGTGGGCTTTGGAGATTTAGCTTAGGACAAGAGAGACTTTGTCATTGTTCTCATGAAACTTAAAATTGAATAAGAAAATTCAATGAGAAGATATAAACAGAAAAATCAACAAAAGTCATGCTAAATTGTAATATCTGCTCTGGGGAAAGGGGACAATTTAGAATAGAATAATTAAGAAGAACTCTCTGCAGAGGTGGAATTCAAATTAAGACCTTAAAGGTAAGAGATCACTGTTATATGAGGAACTGGAAATGGGGTTTTGGAAGGGAGGTATTGAATAGAAAGTTATAGGGAAAGGAACGTTTATGTGAAATCCCTTATGTGGATTTTGTAAGTTCAAGGTTCTGAAAGCAGACTCATTCCCCTGAGGCAAACACATGGCCTAATCTTACTCAGTTTCACATATTAAGAAAGCTCCTCCTGATGCTTTGTGGAGAATTGGTAGGAGATGCACAGATGAAGTAGGAAGTGCTGGTGGTCCAGGAGAGAGATGACATTATCTTAGAAATAAGGCACATGTCTATACCTATGGATTGGATGAGGTATGAGGAAAAGTAGGAATCAAGGAGGCCTCCTGTATTTCTGGCCTGAGAACACAGAGCAGATAATAGTGCCACTAGTGCAGACCATCAGCAGTTTTGAGAAGATGGAGCCACAGTTCCATTTGGGGCACATAAAATTGGAGATGTCAGAGAGGACAAGAGTATTTCATTCAGAGAGATCTGTGCCAGGATCACACATGCCAGAATGATAAGCAGAGAGGCCATACATCAAACGGGTTGGTCAGCTTGCTCAACATCCCTTTGTAGGACTTGCACGGCTACAGACTGGGCCTTGAGGAACCCTCAGAAAGAAAGTAGTATTATAAAGGGAAGTTCAAAAGATGAGCCAGTGAACCACACAAAAATGAGTGTTCTCACAGAAGGAGAAGACAGAAAGTGTTAAAGAAGGAAAGTCATCTAGTTTACTAAATGGGACTGAGAGAATTGAGATCAGAGAAATATCCTTAAGGTTTAGATATTTGAAGATGGCCTTGGAAAGAGGAGCTCAAAGGAACAAAGGACATTGTAGAAGTCAGATTGTTTTGATGTAAATGTGAATAGGAAGTAAAGTGGGGAGAAGTTGTGAGGGCAGCTCTCCCATGAAATTTGGCTATGATTGACAAAGAAAAATTGAGTGATAATAGGAATTGAATGTGGGAGTCAAGAGAAGGTTTCTAGTATTAAGACTGGAGATATTATATTACAGTATGTCTGTTAGTGATGGAAAGGATCCAGTATACAAAGATGGAACACACATCTAAGACATGAATTAAATCAACCATGGAAGTCCTCTAGAATGGGAAACATGCTAAAATAAGACTTTTGATGGGAAGATGGAATATTCTCCCAGTATTAAAAGGGAAAATGTGAAGTTAGAAAAGTGTTTTAAGTTTGATGATGAAAAGATGAGGGAGTTTTAATCTAAGGACATAGGCAGTGATAATTGGAATTTAAAGGAGCCCATCTTGTCTTTTCCTGCCCTTACTCTGGTTATTGGTCTGGTACCTGATAGTTGGCAAGGATCAGGGAGCCAGGATTATCCTTTACCCCAGTGGAACTGGTATCCCTTCAAGAAGATAATGAAATGCACTGAAAGCTATTAAATAATAGAGAGTTAAGGAAAATGTGGAAAGACATAGTAATAGAGGGGTCAATTCAATTAAAATACAATATATTTGTGCATGAAATACCACAGCAAAACCCCTTTGAATAATGAATATACACTTAAAAATGAAAGACAGGTTTTAGAACAGGTTCTGTTTGGGGGTGAATGGAGGATGAAGGAGGGTGAATATGGTCAAGGTACTTTATACACTTACATAAAGAGAGAAAAATGAAACCTGTTGAGATTATTTTAAGAAGGTGGAGTGGGGTATGAGGGAGAATGATGGAGGAGGTGAATCTAACCAAGGTACATTGTAAGCATATATGGAAATGTCATAATGAACCTCTGCCATAAAACCAATATATGCTAATGAAAATATTTTGAAAAAGTCAAGAAACAGGGGCTTCAAATGTCACTTACCGGGCTTGACTTTGCTGCTAGAAGGAACTGCTATTAAAGAATTTCCAGCCAGGACCCACACCATCTGCTGAGAATCATGAATACTATAGGAGCTGGGTACTTCCTGAACTGTCAGGTGACAGAAAAGCATAAAACAGGTGCAGTTTTAATTAACGTTAGGACTCAGTTGCATTCTGATAATAATGACTTCTGAATTTTTGGATTAGGCTTGCTGTATATAAGACATATATAAGGAGAAAGAAAACAGGAAATAAGGCAGTAGCTGGTTTATGTATAAAAGCATCAGAAAGAATCTAAGCACATTCATGGTCTCAAGAGATTTTTGAGATTTGTCTTTATCCTAAGGTTACCTTTTCCTGATTAAAAAAGTCTTTGGATAGCAACAAAAACCAAAACTATTTAAATTAGTCATCAGTATATTCTTTATTCTCTTAGTCAAAATAAACAAGAAATTCTAAATACAGATAAGAAATGGGCCAAATGGCTTCGGATTTTTAAATGCAGATTTCTGAATGTTTTACCAGAGCAAATGCATTTTGCACTCATTGTCTTTGGTGAGGTTGGAAGGAGATAGTTCCAAGATGGTTTGTGATTCACCACTTACGTTGTGGGATTTGCATGTTCATTTTAGAGCTTTCTGTGAGGAGTACAAAGAAATCAGAAGATGGAGAGGAGGCTATCAGCAGCTGGTCAGGAGGGAGAAAGAGAAGAAACACATGTTATCAATTTATCTCCCATGCTCCTGGAATTCTGTAAAATTTCTTTAGAAGGTTTCGTTAAGTTCCTATCCCAGATGCATATTTTAAAGTAAGACTGGCCAACAAATCCTGAATGACTCTCTCATCCCTATGGTGGCTTGGTGGAGATCCCTATGGAGTTTCCAGGTTGTGACGGCCTTGGGATGCCATCTGGATGTCAGGAGGTTCCTGAGCATCACCCAAGGTATCATCTGGTGCAGAGAGCTCCTGGGTTTAGTGTAAGGAAGGAAGCACACATCTATCACTATTCTAGCCTTCCTCCCAGCTGGTGGGTGAGCCACCTCTTTTGCCACCTTTAATTTGAGCACTCTTTAGTAACTGGAAGCAAACTTGTCTCTCTGATCTCCTATCCCCCTACACTCTTCATCCAAAGAGACATCTCTAAGGATCCTACATGTGGCCATCAATGGCCATCCATTGCCACACCAGGTGTTTTTTCTCTCAAGGGACATATGCTTCTGGTTAAGCCCACCAGAGCAGTTCCCTAAGAAGTTCACACACTCTTCACAATAATAACCAGTTACTCATAGCCATTCCCTGCTTCAGAGTCCTCAGTACCTGACTCAATAGTTTTCCCTAATCAGGGAATAAGCAATCCACCAATCAGTACTCTTAGAAGAAGCTCCTGGACTGGTGGAGTGGCTCAAGTGGTACAGTGCCTGCCTAGCAAGCCTGAGGTCCTGAGCTCAAATCCCAGTACTGCAATGAAGAAGAAGAAGGAGAAGAAGAAGAAGCTCTAGCTCTTTAGACCAAGATCCTCAAAAGTTCCTCAAGTCTAGACAGGGAGCAGTGAAAAAAAGTTCCCTGCACATGGCTTCTTAGCAACAGAATTTACCTTTGTCCAGAGACGTCTTGTTGTGATGGCTCTAACTGCATCTGAGAGCTCTGGGAAGCTGATCTAGAACTCCAAGCCTTTTTAATGGGTAAGCAAGGAGCCCTACCCCTGACCCTTGGGTGTGCCCACTTTGGCAAGAAAGTTGGGCTGGCATAGAGGTCCCAAGAGGCTTTGGAGAAATTACAGAGAAGCAATACAGGTGTTACTGGTCTGGGCTCCTTGAGAAACAAGATCAGAGCAAACACCAGGAAACAACAGTTTGGGAATTCTGAAGTCAGATCATGAGTTATGGAGAATGTCTTTCTAGACTGCTTTGGAGGAAGAGGTGTGGCTCTCTTGACTCACTGAACAGTATGAATCTGTACCTCTGTTCACACCTGATCTCTGGCAATTCACAGTACTTTCAGGAATTTTGCGTACCTATTATGCCACACTTATGTTGTGCAACTATTGAGAGCATGTTTTGTTTCCAATCAAGCTATAAGAGCTTTATTTAAGTAATATTTTAATCCCCACAATCACTCTTTAGGGGCCATTAATTTTTACTTCTCTCATAAGAAAACAGAGACCATGAGAGAAAAGAAAACTTACTTTAAGTCATACAGCTAGTCATACAGTCTACCAACTTAGTAACCAAGTCTCTCTGTTCTTAGCCACTATGCTGTGCTTCCTCTGGGTCTTTTTCTCGTGTGTCCTGTACTACCTGAAACACAAAGGAAAACCTCCAATTTGGCCAAGGGAGGATAACGACGTGGTAGGCAAGATCTTCATGGTTTGAAGTTTCCTAACTCTGAATCAAGAATGTCAAAGTGTACCCCAATAATTACAACAATAATATGATTTTTAAAAAATCAGATGTGACCTGAATTACGAATCATATGTAGGTAGCCAGATGCTGATAGCTCACACCTGAAATCCTAACTACTTGGGAGGCTAAGATCAGAGGATCTTGTTCAGAGCCAGTTTCAGGCAAATAATTCACGAGACCCCCATCTCCAAAAACTAACCAGAGCAAAATGGACTGGAGGTGTGGCTCAAGTGGTAATGTGCCTGCTTTGCAACCTTGAAGTCCTGAGTTCAAACCCCAGTCCTACCAAAAAACAAAAAAATCAGATGCAACCTGAACATTGGCAATGACAGTAAATCATTACTCCTTAAACAATATTGTTGGTCAGCCTAATCATTAAATATCTTACTCATTCTGTGCCAAAATTTGCTTTCACATAACTGCCAACTATTGGTCTTGGTTTACTCTCTGAAATTCACCTTAAGTCTCTTCCTTGGGATATTGCAATAGCCTCTAACTCCTTGCTTGTCTTTTTACCTCCTTAGAATTAAATGTCTACCCAGCAGTGACCAGAATATATCATGTCTCTGCTGAAAGCCCTTTGGTGGCTTCACGTTATACCCAGAGTAATAATTACAACTCTCACCATGGCTCTCCCTAGTCCACATGATCTAGTCCCTGTTTTTTTTTTTTTTTTCTTCCATGCTTCTGACCTTGCTCTGTGAATCCTTTTGCTCTAGGCACAGTGGACTCCTGATAATTCTCCCAAATCGTTATTATTTTGGTTATTGGATATTTTCCTTTAGTTTCTGTGTTCCTATGAAAACATACCTTATCAGAATAGGATTTTAAAAAACATTTCTTATTTTCTGCCACCACAGGCTACTCTTGTGTATGTCTCACATTCTGCAAGTCTCAAATTTAGCCATTTTCCCAAAGGTGTACAGAGGATATTTTTGTGTTACTATGATTATTCTTGAGCTTCATTCTGGGGAAAAATTATGGTACTTTGAAATAATTTGACCTTTGTGGTCTTGATCTTAAGATTTGATAGGTGCACCTGGAGAAATATTTATTCTGGGTCGTATTATTTTCCATTACTTAAGCAAGGTTTTTCTGAATATTGTATCCAGTGCATTGTGAATTATGAAGGTTTTCCAGGCCAGAGAGGGGGAACAGATACTGCTCTTTCTAATCCTTTGGAATTTTAAAATTCCAAACCTTAGGGATTATTACAATGGCACAAAGGAGAGGAAGGAAGAATTGGAAAATACTGTTATTCAAGGACCTTATATATGCAGTAAAATTATTTGAAGTTATTCTCATTAATTAAGATATAAAAGTCCTAGTGTAGCCAATAAAAATATTTAAGGGTATAAACAATAAGTCAATAGACTAGATTAAATGGAATCATAAAAAGTGTTAACTGAGGACAAGGCAGGAAGAGCATAAAGAACAGAACAAATAGAAAACAGCAAGATGGTAGATACTAATCCAATTATATCAACACATAAGTTAAATTCTACAATTGTACCAGTTTAAAGACTGAGATTATCAGATAAGATAGAAAACAAAATGCTTAATTATAGAGTAAGAAATCCTTTAAGCTAGGTATAGAGCTTCACACTTGTAGTGTGAGGCTGAGGTAGGAGGATCATGAGTTCAGAACCAGCCTGGTCTACCTAACAAGTTACAGCCAACCTGAGCTTCATAGTGAGACTCTGTCTCCAAAGATTCAAACAAATAAATAATAAAATAAATGTAAATAAAAAAGAAACTCTCCTAAAATATAATGACATAGATAGCTTAAATGTAAAACTATGGAAAGAGATATATTGTGCAAATGCTAAACCAGGAAAGCTGGAAAGCTATATTACTCTCAGTCAAAGCAAATTTAACAACAAGAAAAATTGTAGGGAGGGAAGAGGAACATTCCATAATGACAAAGGGGTCAACTCTCCAAAAATTCATAGCAATATTAAATGCAAGTGCACTTAATAACAGAGCTTCAAAATACATGATGAAACTAAAAGGAGAAATAGACATCATCTCCAATTTTTGTTGGTGAATTCAACACTCATTTCTCCATAACTGATAGAAAAGAAGACAGAAAATCAGAAATGCAGGAGCATAGAGAAGACCTGAACAATGCTATCAACTAACTAGAACATTTTACATTTATATAATGCTCCACCTAATGACAGCAAGAAATATCCCAGTAAGAATTACCTTATGATCTGGAAATTCCACTTTTGGGTATATAGTAGAAATAATTGAAAGCAGAGACATTCCTATAGAGAACATTCCTATGTTCACAGCTGCAATTATTTATAATAGCAAAAATTGGAAGCCTCTCAAATGTGTTTATCGACTGATGGAAGAATAAAGAAAACTATATATATATATATATATAATCTATTCATATATATATGAATATTATTCAGCCTTAAAAGGAATTAAATTGTGATACATGTTGCAACATAGATGAACCTTGAGAATATTGGTTAAGTAAAATAAAACTGTCACAAAAGGACAAATACTGTGAGATTCCACTTGTTTGAGGTACCCAAGGTAATCAAATTCATAGAGATGGAAAGCTGAGTGGTGGTTGCCAGGGACTGGAAGGAGGGGAGCATGGAGTTACTGTTTAGTAAGTAGAATTTCAGTTTTGCAAGGTGAGAAGAGTTCTAGAAATGGATTATAGTGATGGTTGCAAAATTATACCAATTACACTTAGTAGCACTGAATTATACACTTAAAATGATTAAAACAGTAACTCTGTATTTTGTCACAATTAAAAAATATTTTTAAGTATATCAAAAAAAGAAAATTTATGCAAACACCTATATAACAAAAAAAAAAGAAGAAGAAAGAGATTGAAAAAGAGAGATGTTTTGAAGAGCTCTTGAAAGGGGTTATTCCATACTTCATTGAGTGCTACCCCTCATTGGCAGAGCCAGGGAAAGCTGGGGCCTCCTCAGGGGTGGCCCCTAGGTGGCTTCTGAAACCAGTCTATGTGATATGGTTGCTAATTGCCTGGGTGAGTTGTTCCAGATCCTATGTGGAAAGAGATGGAAAATGAGGCAGAAACACTACATGGATTGATCCTGTGGATGTTTGGAAACTGTGCATCAAGTGTGACCTGCCCTGTCAAGATTGTCCAAGAATGCCCCCCTCCATGAGATCAAAGCCTAGCACATTGAACACACTGTCTGGTTAAGCAGAAGCTGGTCCAGGCCA